CTAAACATATTTGGTATGTTTAACTCAGATAAGAAATTGAATAGTCAGAAAAAGTGTCTTAAAATGGCAGCTTGAGGTAAGGCAGGTGTCATGGCTCCAATTCCTACAGAAACCAAGAAGGTAAATGGATGCAGTAAACCAGGGGGTTGGGCCCCTGGAGCACTTATGACCCATCTAAATCAGAACAGTGGATGCATGGAGGTGGGGAATGGACTGAAAAGGGGTAGAAGGGAACTTTTGGGGGCCATGAAAATGGTCTATATCTTGATAGACGTGTGGATTACACAGATGTATGCATTTGTCAGGACTCATGGACCTGTAGTACTTAAGATTCATATACTTCAGTTTGTAAATGATCTCTCAATACAAATATATTAAAAAACAAATTAAAAAATAATTCAAGCTTGTATGTTACAGACTAGTTATCACTAGGGTATTAATGATTCTCTCCTAGGAATATCCATTTAAAAGAAGACAGGGCAAGAATTAACTCAGAGGCAAATGGGGCCCTAAGTAGCTGGGTGAGAAAGATTGTTGGCAGTGAGGCCTATTCAGAGAACCCCAAATCACTCCACACATTGAATCAAATAGTCCTTCCAAGGACTACTACGGGTTTATCTTTTGCCCAAGTCCAAAATGCTAAAAGGTGAATGGCGAAGATGCTGATGGTACTGGAGCCACCCAAGCAATAAGGGCTCCGGAAGGGAGCACAGGGCCAAGTGGCAGTGCCCTGAGGCTCCCATGTGAGGGAGATGCAGTAGGTGAGCTTCAGGCTCTCAGATCTGATGACCAAGGGACAGTAACCAGCAGGGGTGGCCTCCATACGACACTCAGCATACTGAGCACTGAAAGCCTCTGGGGATATTGCTGCGTGGCTACATTCTTGGTTTCTTTAATATTAACACACTGGGGACTACTATACTCGTATGTATGTTGGATGGGTTGCTTCCATTGAAAAATAAACTCATCCTTTCTTACTTAATGAGAGACGCTTCTCAAAGCCTGTAGAAATTTCACTGGGTTCAACAGACTCATGCTTTGTTGTGTGCGAAAGGACTCTAAACAGAGCCAACAATTGTAGGCTAAGATTTTCTTGGTTTGACTAACATGTGGTTCTAAACCAAAACGACCAATAAGAGAAGTGATGCTTTGAAATGTGGGTTCCACTTTTTCCAAGGAGCCTGATGGTTAGCCAGTGGCCGGGGCAGTAAAGGACTCACAGTTGTGAGGGTTGCCTGTCTGGCAAGGTATATTGGGTTTGTTGGCCTCTGTCCTCAGAAAGTTGCACCTATAAATTGGAAGCAATAGGTACTCAGCCTTCCCCAGAGGGGAAGACTCGGCAAGTTCACATCGGGAAGTTGTTGCTAGGGAGAGGACAGGTGGGCTGAAGGATGGGCCTTTAGTATTTACAATGAGACAATTTATGACAATTAAAATGGGACAATTTCTTAAGAGGGGTCACTTGAACAAAGCTTTGCTGTCAGGGGCCAACTGGAGAAGGAAGAATGGAATCTGAATGAGATTTTAGATGAGACGTTTTCTTTTTGGTTTGTGTAATCATAACAATGATTTGAAAAAGCTTTACCAGTGAATTAGTAATGGATTTGGCTACATACAACAGTAATTAGTTATAAATTCCCTAATTATTTCCAGAAAGGATTTACTAAGAAATGATGCAAAGTGCCATTGAATCCATGAGTTGTTGTTTTTTTAATGTAAATATGATGTATCTGACTTGCCAGTTTTACAATCTGCTTGACTTTGAAAGAGATATGTTTGATATTTTGGCTTTGAGTAGAACTGAGACTATTTACCCAAAGGTGCTTTTCCCATCCAAAGGTGCTTATGTGAGTGACTATGTACTTGGATCCTACCAATCACACACAAACACAAACACACACACACACACACACACACACACACACACACACACACACACATACACACACACACATGGGGTGAGGTGGTTGGGAGATGTTCCCTTAGCGTCCTGCAGGAATGCTAGACGTAACACTTACACACTATTAGAACTCCCTGTTCTTGGTTTGTATCCCTCGCTTGAAAATGAGGTCTTCGAGAGTATACAATGGTTTGTCTTATTTATTCTCCATTTTTAATGCTTAAAAGAGTATCTGACACATAGTAGGTGGAAATAAATATTTTTAGTCTTGCTATTTTCTGTTTGGTTCTCTATGGAGATGAAAACCAGTGCTGCATATCTTTTTCTACATGAAGACACTCATGCTTAATGTCATATCCAGCCCCATAACCTTTCCTTTGATTTTCTTTCTTTAGAACCTTTTCCCCAGCATGATGACCTGGTTAATTCCATCTAGGGCGGTGGACATAAGTCACCAAGGCTGGAGGTTTGACAACCTGTAATTTGGTGCTCAGATTCCAATCCTCACAATTTGGTGTGATGTGTGCTTCCCTAATTTTCACAAGTGTTGTTGGAATTTATTATAAATGTATGGAAAAGCCCTTGGTAGCTGCCAAACAGGCATGGTTATCAGCCTCAATTCATCAGTGTGGAAAAGGTTCAGAGGTAAATTGATTTGCTCTAGCTTATGCATTCAATAGCGAATCTGAATCCAAAATCGGTGGTTTCCCCACAGCCCTACAAATTTACTGAACTCAACAAAGAGAGGACCAATTCCAGGACTGCCCCACATGACCACAAGGGAAGACCTAGGTGGCACTGATCTTAGAACGTGTGTCCTTGGGAGGGCTCCTGAAACCAGCCCAGTCTACAGGGAACTAGGTGCTCCCCACGAACTTGACTTACTTGCTGGGCCTGGAGACGGTTTGTTCGCTTTGTATTTCTCTATCAGGAAAACCAATAGTCTCAGAGCTGGGAAGCAGGTTTCCTTTATAATTAGCACAACAGGCCAATGGATGTCACTGTTGCACCATAGAAACAGAATCTCAACCTCAAGAGGAGCTTGAGCAATAGTAGCACGCTCTCTATTGGTTTACTTTAACAGAGCAGAGCATACCTGAAACCACAAGGAAACTATTTGAAGTGAGATCATAACTAATATTCCATTTTTAATTTTCAGAGTTAGCAATGGCACATTCAGGTTAAGTTAAGGCAAATCATTCAAGTTAAGGCAGATAGCTTTTAACAGAGTGGGTAGCTACAAATGAAGGTGTGTGTCACTTATCGGGGAAAAGACAACAAAGTGAATCAAACCAGGTCCTCTGATTTCAAATACTGTGTTTCTTTCTTCTCCATGACTGCCTTTCACAATTAGACAATGTGCAAAATCATATACATAAAAAAAAAATACCCATGCTGATAGTTAGAGTGAGACTTCGTACCATATCAATAGGCCAGCATAAACATTTTGGAAGGAACTTCTAATCCTCAACCTAATATAATGATCAAAATAATATATATATTTATTAAGTACCCACAATGTACCCAGGAATTGTGTTAGGCTTTTCACAACTCTTTAAAGTAAATATTATTATTTCCATTTTTCACATGGGGAAATTGGGGCTCTTCAACAGTAAGTGATGTTTCTGATCACACAGCTGGTAAATGACAACATAGATGAAAGTTCAGGTCCACTGGCCTGCAAAGCCCCTGCATTTTCCAATGTGCTCCAATTCGGTTCATGCATTCTTTGACAGCCCACTGTGTGTCCATCACTGGAGATACTACAGTGAATATGGTGCCATCTTGCCCCAAAGAAACTCTAAGGTCTTTGGCAATTATATCACCACACAGAGTGAGAGGGGCTCTTGCCAGGTGCTATGCAACTAAGTGAGAGGTCAGAAAAGGCCTAGAGGAAGTAACCTCTACATTGATGTTTGAAGAATGAATAAAATATGGCAGACAAAGGGAAATATAGATCAAAAGTGTTTTACCTGGAGGACTCTCCAGTGCCTAGGCATAAAATGAAGATATAGTAGTTATGTGTAATTTAACCTTATAGAAGTTTTCTTTTTTTTTTTAAAAAAAGAAATCATCTGTTTCTTTTAAATTGGCCTGAGTGTGAACTATTATATTAATAACCTATTGTCCAGCAGTACTTTCTAAGGAGAACCATAGTATAAGGCCCCACTTATGGTAGAGAGTCAAGTCCTGCCTTGGAAACAGTGAGGAGGCTCTGGTACCATTACAAGAAATACCTTCATGGGCTCCCATGTAGATAGAACCCAAGCAGGGGCAGCAGGAATAAGGAATAAAGGATGCCCCATGGGCTTTCCCAGTGCACTTCCTCTGTTTGAGGCCCTGACCCCAGATCAAGGATCCCCCGATTCTGCAGGGTGAGAACTGGCCATTACAGAGGGCCCTGGTCTATGTGAGTCTCTATATTATAATTTCATGAGCATGAAATTGTGACTGTCTCTCCGTTTTCAGTTCTGGTACAATCTTCACATGCATAGAAAACAGATGTAAGCTGCTACCGGTGACTGCAGTGCTGTGACTATTCTTCCATCAGGTCCAGAACTTTCTTTCTCCAGCAGTGAGAAAGGTGATCCTGAGAGATAAATACCAGTGACATTCCCTGGCAATTCTTATGGGCCTTCAGACCTGTCACAGGTCATAGGCTATAATCATTCTTGGAGTTTCTGACGATGAGGCCTGTCACTACTGTCAGACTGGCTTAACTGGCCTTTTTTGGACACTTTCTTAAAATATAAGTAAATTGGGCAGCTAATCCTACACTTTGTATCTTGGTTTTTCTAGGAGCTTTGAAGTCTAGATATGGAGAAGGAAAGGTTAAGGGAGCAATCCTAGAGAGAAGTAACAGGAATGTCTTTGTGTTTATCTTAATGACACTCGTATGATTCAACCTTTAGCCCAGTAACTATCTTCCCCCTTTCCTGCCCAACAGCCTCTCTTGGTCTTGGTCACATTTAATATTTTCAGATAGAGATGACGATAGGACTGGGGGTCCTCTTATTGGCCCAGAACATAATGGCGATGCTAAAAAAATAATATAAATTACTGAATCATTTAACAAGTGTTTCTTATCCCTATGTCCCAGGCTATATGTCTGAAGAGGCAAAACAATGGACTGGGGGCCTCAAGACTTCACTTGCAGTTGCAGGAAGCTGAGAGGAGACTGACCTGCAGCTCAGGTGGCTGATATTTGCATGTAATGCTTGGTAAGCTCCTTCTAACCCCTCAACAATTTGGAATGTATGAAAATGATATGTAAATACTGGTGTCATTTTCATGAAAATCTTTCCTCCATTCAGCACCAACCCAGCGTAAAAACCAATGGTAACCTAGTCCATTTCTTTGAATGCATTTAGTCTTTTCACCAGTTTAATCCACACTTAGCCATGCAGTAGGATAGGGTGGAAGTTAGAGTCAAATAGAGCTCAAGTCCTGGCTTCTCTACTCACTAGCTGTGTGACTTTGGGCTCCCCACTCTTTTTCCCTCCGCACTTCAATTTTCTCATTTGCAAACTGGGGATAAGAAGAAGTTGATATGATAGATAACATAATAGTTACCCTCAGTGAGTATTTCTTATGTGCTAGACACTGAGAATGGCACCTTATAACAAGTGTGATAGGCAGTCACCCTTGAATGTTTCTTTTTCATTTCCCACACCCAAGAATCACCAAGTTATTTTATCTCTAAAATATTTCTTGACTCTCTCCCCTCCTTCCGTTGCCCTGGCTCAGGCCCTCGTTATCTCTTGGCCGCCTAAGTTGGTCTCCCCGCTTTCACTCTTATGCCCCTTAAGTCCACTCTCTACATACCAACCAAAACAATCAGTTTAAACAAAAACATGTCACTCCCTCACTTAAAGCCCTTTAATGGCTCGCCACCTCCTAAGAGCACAAGCTCTTAGAATGGCAAAGAAGGTCACCCTGTCTACCTGTCCAGATTTTTAGCATTCCCTGCCCACGTAACACACTCTAGGCTTGTTTTTACCTCTGAGTCTTGTATTATACTTCATTATTGCCTCTGTTCAGTGTTCTCACCTCGTCCACTTACTTACCTTTTAAGACTCAGGTCAGACTAGGCAAGTTGGGAAAGCCTTCCTTGATGCCTCCATCTTCCACTCCCAGCCTGGGTCAGGCACTCTCCACTCTTAACCATTATCATGTGCTCCCAGCTCCTGGGCATGTCTCTTTCACTGCATTTACCACATTGATTGGTAATATATTTACTGATGAGTTCTTCTCCCTTACTGAACTTTTCTTGAGGCAAAACCCATGTCTTATTCATCCTTATATCCCCATCACCTGGCACAGTTCCTGGCCCACCCCAAGGGTTCCATACATAAAGTGAGTGAAGGAATGAAGACAGTGACCCCAGCTCATGCTCTTTGCACGCACCACATCCCATCTCCAACATGTCATGCATCTGGCACAGTGGTCCAAACTAGGGGCGATTTTGCTCCCAGGGACATTTCATCATGTCTGGATAAGTTTGCCACAATTGGGGGTGGAAGAAGTGTGCCTCTGGCATCTAGTAGGATGCTGCTAAGCATCCTACAGTGCCCAGGACAGCCCCCCACAACAAAGAATTATCCATCCAAAATGTTAATAAGAGCTAAGAATCAAAACTCTGGATCTAAAACAGGGTCTGGTACATAGAAGACCTCAATAGGGGGTTCCGAACCCTGGCAGCTTAGTGGCACAAGTGGCAGAAATGGTAATCATGCTTAATATAAATCATATAGTTATACAGCATACTGCTTTAAATTTAGTGAGCAGTTCTGCACGATATTAACTCATTTCATAGTATCAGACCTAAAGGAGTTAAGTTCTACTTTTATAGTCATACTTTAAATAAAGCAAAATTCCTATTCAAGATCAATGGAGTATAATGCATGTCTCCCTACACATACACATGATATATCTTTTCCAGGCCTGTATTTCTGAACAACCAACTAAAATGTCTGGACAATATGGGTAAACCTATATTAGCTCACCAGCTATGATGTTGAAGTGTGTGTGTGTGTGTGTGTGTGTGTGTGTGTGTGTGTGTGTGTGAGTGTGTGTTCAAATGTATCTCTTATCCTGCATGAACTCATAACCTGGAACACCCTTTCCAGGAAGGCCTGGCCTCCCTGGGATTCACAAGAGAAATATAAAGATTAAAACTTTTAAACTGTCAAGTGAGTTTTTAATTAGCCATTTGACATAGCACAGCTGAGGCATTCATTATGACACAGGATACAGGCTGACCCACTTCTCAGGGACCTCAAAGTCCCATCAACTATGCATACTATTCATACTGGGCAGTTTTTTCTGCCTATGCATATTCAACCACCTAATGTTTGGAGATGGGGTGCATAGTAAAGGAGCCTACCTAGAAGGTATCAAAACCAGAACCTAAGTTCTAAATTCCCTACAGTGACCCCTGCCTATAATTCAGCTGTATGACCCTCTGTCTGAACCCTGAGGAAAATTTATGGTCAGTTTCTCCAGGTTATCTTCAGCTCTTCTTTTAGTTGTCCTTTTATCAGTCCAGATGTCTTTTGCTTTTGAGAAGAGCCATCTTTCTTGTCTCAGCAACTCCCCTTTCTCTTTATCTAGTTCAAATGATTAAACCACTAAAACTGACTGCCAACACTGGATATGTCTGCCTCTGCTTAAAACACACTGGCACAGAAGTGGCTATGTACTTCTTTTTGTAAATTTAACACTTAATTCATATTAAAATGTCCAAGCTGAGATGAGGCATCCTTTAAGCCCTTTAAGGTAGTTTTGAGTCCCAGAATAAGTAGGAGTGACCCAATTTATTGCAAAAAAAAAAACAACCCCAAACAAAACAAAATAAAAAAAAAAACCTTTTCAATTCTAAAATAATGGTTTTAACCACCATTAGAATCATAGCCAGGTTGAATGTCAGGGGTTGTGAAATTGGACAATGCCAAGCTTCTTTTGGAAATACTTTGATTTGCTAGATAGATAACCAATGTCCACAAGTGATGGTTTATGATAGGGAATTTCCCATTGGCTGCCTTGCCATTAACATATCTTAAGGGAGTTCAAGCAAATTTGTAACGAAGAAGCTTCTCCTGGTTGTGCCAAGGGTGTGGTGCTCCTTGGCTTGGGCAATTAGTTTATTTATAATTTAAACAAACAGAAAATGCAGCACTAGCCTGCTGTTAGGTTTCCTGATGGCTTAAACTACCCACCCAACTATCCTCTAAATGGCAAAGGCATTACCCATGGATGTGCAGGTGTGGTAGGAAGCCTCAACCCTCTTCTAGCCCAGGAGCTCCCTGACTTCTTCTAAATTGTTGAATGGTATTATAGATTGAATGTTTGTGCCCCACCCCTCAATTTATATGTTGAAGCCCTAACCCCCAGTGTGGCTATATTTGGATATGGGGGCCTCTAAGGAAGTAATTAAGCTTAAATGAGGTCATAAGGATGGGACCCTGATCTAAGAGGATTTGTATCATTATGAGAAGAGATAATAGAAAGCTCATTCTCTCTCTCAGCACACTTTTGCAGGCACCAGGAAAGGAGAGGACATAGTGGGAAGGTGGCCACTGAGAGCCAGGAAGAGAGCGCTCACCTGCTGGAGCCTTGATCTTGGACTTTCCAGCCTCCAGAGCTGTGAGAAACTAAATGTCTGTTGCTATGCCATTCAGTCTGTGGTATTCTGTTATGGCAGACTGAGCAGATTAATACAAATTGTTATTATCAACTATATTAAGGAGTGAAAAATCTATCAAAGTTATAACAATTGCCATCACAGCAATCACCTAATGACTGTCACTGTGTGTATCACAGATCATTAAAATGCTAAATTTTAGAAACTAAGAAAACAGTCCCATTTACAATTGCATCAAAAAGCATAAAATACCTAGGAATAAATTTAACCAAGGAGGTGAAAGACCTGTACACTGAAAACTATAAGACACTGATGAAAGACATCAAAGAAGACACAAATAAATGGAAAAACATTCTGTATGCATGGATTAGAAGGATTAATATTGTTAAAATGTCCATATAATCCAAAGCAATCTATAAATTCAATGCAATCCCTACAAAATTCTAATACTATTCTTCACTGAAATAGAACAAACAATTCTAAAATTTGTATGGAACCACAAAAGACCCTGAATAGCCAAAACAATCTGGAGAAGAACAAAGCTGGAGGTATAACACTTCCTGATTTCAAACTATATTATGATGTTATAGTAATAAAAACAGTATGGTATTGGCATAAAAAGCAGATTACATAGATGAATGGAACAGACTAGAGAGACCAGAAATGAACCCATGCATATAGGGTCAATTAATTTCTGACAAAGGAATCAAAAATATACGATGAGGAAAGGATAGTATCTTCAATAAATTGTGTTGGGAACACTGGGTAGCCACATGCAAAAGAATGAAACTGGACCCCTATCTTACATCATACACAAAAGTCAACTCAAAATGGATTAAAGACTTGAACATAAGACCTGAAACCATAAAACTCCTAGAAGAAAACATAGAGAGTAAGTTTCTTGACATTATTTGCAATGATTTTGTTTGTTTTTTTATTTGACACCAAAAGTCAAGGAAACAAAAGCAAAAATAAGCAGGTGGGACTACATCAAACTAAAAAGCTTCAGTGCAGCAAAGCAAACCATCAAAAAAATAAAAAAAAATTTTTTTTATTTCTTTCATGGAATGAAAGAAAATATTTGCAAATCATCTCTCTGATAAGGTGTTAAATATCCAAAATATATAAGGAACTCATACAACTCTATAGCAAAAAACCCCCAATAATCCAATTAAAAAATGAGCAAAGGGGACCTGCTGGGTGGCACAGTTGGTTAAGAGTGCAAGCTCTGAGCAACAGGGTTGCCGGTTTGATTCCCACATGGGCCAGGGATCTGTGCCCAAGCTGCGCCCAAGGTGCGTCCAAGCTGAGCTGCCACTGAGCTGCCAACTGGCAGCCGGATGGCTCAGCTGGTGAGAGCACATGCTCTTAACAACAAGGTTGCTGGTTCAGCTCCCACATGGGATGGTGAGCTGCGCCCCCTGCAACTAGATTTAAAGTGGTGACTGGACTTGGAGTTGAGCTTGTGCCCTCCACAATTAAGATTGAAGGACAACTTGACTTGGAGCTGATAGGTCCTGGAAAAGCACAATGTTCCCCTTCTCCAATTCCCCAATAAAAATAAAAAAAAAAGAAATGAGCAAAGGACCTAAATAGACATTTTTCCAGAGAAGATATTCAAATGGCGAAGAACATGAAAAGGTGTTCGACATCACTAATCACCAGGTAAATGCAAATCAAAGCACAGTGAGATATCACCTCACATCTGTTAGGATGGCTGTCACCAAAAAAACAAGTGAAAACAAGCGTTGGTCAGGATGTGGAGTAAAGGGAACACTTATGCACTGTTAATGGGATTGTAAATTGGTGCAGCCACAATAGAAAATAGCATGGAGGTTCCTCAAAAAATTAAAAATAGAGTTACCATATGACCCAGCAATTCCACTTCTGGGTATTTATCTGAAGGAAACGAAATCACTATCATGAAAATATATCTGCACCAGTGTTCATTGCAGAATTAGTTACATTAGCCAAATGTGGAAATAACCTAAGTTTCTGTCAATGGATGAATGAATAGAGAAAATGTGGTACACACACACACACACACACACACACACACACACACACACACACACACACTAGAGTACCACTCAGCCATAAAAAAGACAGAAATTCTGCCATTTTTGACAACATAGATGGATACTGAGGCCATTACACTAAGCGAAATAACTCAGAGAAAGACAAATACTGTATGATCTCATTTATATGTGGAATCTAAATAACGAACAAACAAACAAACGACTCATAGATACAGAGAACAGATTGGTGGTTGCCAGAGACTGAGAGGTAGCACAGGTGGAAAGGGGGTCAAAACGTATGAACTTCCAGTTATAAGATAAATATGTTCTGGGATGTAGTGCATAGCATGGTGATTACAGTTAACAATACTGTCTTGTATATTTGAAAGTTGCTAAGAGAGTAGATCTTAAAAGGTTTCATCACAAGAAAAAAAATTAAATCTCTGTGATGATGGATGTTAACTAAACTCACTGTGGTGATCATTTCATGATATATACATATATCAAATCATTATGTGGTACATTGAAAACTAACACAATGCTATATGTCAATTATATCTCAGGTTTTTTAAATGCTAGATTTTAACCCAGGAATTATTGTATGTCAGATGGGGAATTAATTATAAACCAGTCCTATATATACACTATTTTATTATTGTTATCCTTTCAATATTTTCTGGATCATTTATATAATTTGGGAGAAAAGCTAGTTTATCTTTTATGACACTATCTCAAATTTATGTAGCCCAACTCTCCCCAAAAGTTCAAAGGACTTTGCTTAAAACTTCTCACTGGCTTTGATAGAAGCCCCAGGAACTATGCAAAAGGCTGATTCCATTGCCTCATTTTTCATTAAAAATCAGTTTTGCTTTCTCTTGGTATTTGATGAGAGAAACAGCTCTTTGATTTGGGGATTTTCAAAAATTGACTTTGTTCTTTTTTAATCCCAACTGCTCCAGGCATCATTAGCTTCTTTTAATAGAAGTTTCAATTTCTTTTTATCCCTTTGAGCATGGGTTCCAATATCCTCAAAGCAGCACCTTTTAATTGGCCTGGAAAAGGTCACCCTTCTAAGCAGAGGAAACCATATCACACATTTTACAAAGTCCATGTGGGTCTCTGAGATCAGAAGGGGATGGTTGCAGGGGCTGAATTCATCCTGCAGCAAATGTTTAGGTGGCATGTGATTACATTTTCAACCTAATTACTATATATTGTAATTACATGTACTCACTCTTAACCAACCCATTCTATGTTATAATTAGTTGGCCTTCATTTAAAATTCATTTATCTTTAATATTTTGTTCTTTTTTTATTTAGCCAATGGCTGAGGGGCAGCGTTATTTTTGACAGTGATTCCCTTATATGTAACAATTATCAGTGACACTCTCCTATACAGACTTCCCAGTCATAGGCTTTTTAGGAAATGATACAAGGGCATGTAATGTATCCTCCCACCTTCACATACCGCCCCACCCCCATCACACGTTGCCTTGCATATTCTAAAAGTTATTTCTCCAGAGAAGTCTAAGGTGTAATCAAATCTTACATGTACATGGACACTGTTTTTGGTTTTTTTTTAAAGATTTTTATTGGCGAATTGGGGGATGGGAACAGACAAGTTGCTGTCCTTTTGTTCTTCAGTCTAGTTGTGGAGGATGTTGCTTCACTGGCCCAAGTTGGCAC